GGCAGAGAGGAGGCGAAACACCACCTTTGAATAAATGCAACACCGAGGTGGACGGGGCCGCGGGCGGACAACGGAGCGCCGCGCGCGAAGCACGGCTCCTTTGAATTATCCTTTCATAAACGCCTTGCTTTCCAAGTGTGGCCACGGCCCAGACTAGCGTGAAACGCCTCGATATTTCGCCGACATGCCACGCCGTAGGGGTGATCTGTCCCGAGCTCTGCAGACATCTCGCTCGCGAGTGGGCCAGCCAAGCGAGAAGCAATAGGGGGACAGCCAAGCCACGGGATATCCAATGTGGACAGCGACAAGGCACAACATGGAGCGCAGCAGCGCCGACGACGCACCAGTGGGAGCCTCCGCGGCTGGACTGTCCCGGTGCCTCGCCACCGGCATGCCGCCTCACACGCAATTGCCGCGAAGGGCCGATACAGGCGGACGCTGTCACGGCGCAGGGCTGGGGGGTGGGGGGGTGGGGGGGGGGGGCAAGAGCGGCTCCAGCTGCCCCCGCAGGGGGGTGCGCAAAGAGCGCTTGAGCTATCCATCCTATTGCCGACGCCGCCGGCGCTGAGAAAGAGATCGCCAGACTGCCCTCGCCGCCGGGTCGCCTCCACATGGGGCGGGTCAGAGGGGGCCGCAGGGGAGAGGGAGGAGGAGAGGCATGGAATCCCTTGTTTTCTCTTCGCCTCTCGGCCCCGCCGTCGCTTAGAGTCGTTCCTGCTGCTCTCGTCGCCGCTCCTCCCCGGCAGGACAGGACCCACAAGTCCACGAGTTCAGTCAGCGGTCCTGCCCGACGGCTCACTGTGGCTAGGCTCGGGCGGCTCACTGTGTCCGGGCCCTTTTAGTGCAGCTCGCGAGCCCGCGCCGAAGCCGCCGGCCACCGCCCGAACCCGAGGTGCAGCGAGGCAGGGTGCGCGACAGCTCCACGGCGCGAGGACCACGCTGAGCACGTTTCCGTCCACGCTGCCCAGGTCGTGGAGGCTGTCCGTGCTGTCCGTGCTGCAAACTCCCCCGAGGCAGATCTTCTCCGCGGCCACGGCGTCGAGGGTGATGCTGCAGCCCGAGAGCAAGTAGAGCTCCACGGTCACCAGGAGCGTCGCGCGCGCGGGTGCGCCCATCTGCCCCCGCTTGGCTACCCCGCCGTGTGCCTTCACGTACTCCGGCCCCTCGTCCACCAGGTTCTGCATCTCGACGTGCTCCGGCCGATGTGTCTTTAGAAGCTCCTTCCGGACGCGCCGACTCGAGGATGCCGTACGGCGAGATGAGGGTGAGGCTGGTCGCCGTCCGCGACGTTCGACCTTCGGGGGCAAGTCGTCTACAGCGCAGCGGGGTGTCCAGGCTGGGGCTCCCGGGACAGGCGCCTGCGCTTGGGCCGCAGCAAATTGGATCTCCGCGGCGCTGCTAAGAAAGAGCAGGAGTTGGTCCGTGCAAGACTCGAGGGCGTCCCACTTCCCATTCGCCGCTATCTTGCTCCGGCGTTTGTTCGCGGGTCCCACCGCGGTCTCCGCAAGGGGGACCTTCCAAGGGGCCTCCAAGCCAGGCCGGCCAGGGTCACTGTCTGACTCTACAATTGGCGGGACCGCTCTGGCTTTTTCCCGTGAGACGTCCGTGAGGATTTGGAGTCCCACGGCCCAGATCAGGTCACGAAGGTCGTCCGTGTGGGCGCGCCGCACGATGGAGACAGACCGCAGGGGCGCGCGTCCATCTACCGAATCTTCAAACTCGTCGCGCGTTCTCCAGCGCCGCGCGCTCGCCGCTGCGTTGCGCATGGGGGCCGTGGCACATGGCCAAGGATTTCACGCGTGTGTGCGTCTCCCTTGGAGTGGCGCCAGGGTCGGGGACAGGAGAGTCCGGCGTCGCCGACTGGACGGGAGATCGCGCCCTGAGCTGGACACGCCACCTCCGATGCATTGCGCAGGGCCGCCTTTAGGATCTGCTCTAGCTGACGCCTAGAGCACATGCCTCCACAAGTCTCAGCCTGTCAGGGGTTCTCACAATCAGGAGTCGAAGTCGATGTGTTCCCCCTGGGGGCCGTCCCTCGCTGCGGGCAGTGTGAAAGGTGCAACCCCGTGTGTCCGCTTGCGGATACATGGGGTCGCGCCCTTCGCCTGGCCACGGCCTGGCACGGCCCCCGCTCTGCTGAGCGGCCGCGTCAGGGGCAACGTACCCCCCCTAGGGGTACGGCTAACCCACGCCCTCCTCTCGGAGGGCGCCCCCTCGTGGGTCTTCTTTTGGGGGGGGACTTGCGCCGTTCTGCTTGGGTTCTTGCGGATGGTGCGACAGTCTGGTAGTTCCCTCTCCCAGTCAATTGTGGGCGGAACTGCTCAAACCTCCCCGGATCCCGTGCCTGAGAGGGCGGTTGGGGTTCCGGCTCTTCCCCTTTCGGCCCCATCCGGGGGGCAGGCTGGGGCTGCCCCTGGTCCAGGCGACCCGGCATTTGGTGTTACATTTTGTTGGCTCTTACTGATGTGGTGCCAATATTGGACCCTACGTAGTCGGTTGTGGTGGTTCGGAAAATCAGGTGCCAACGTAGACGCGCGCGTTGGAAAACCAGCAACTAAGCACCCAACGTAGGATGTGGTGAAATGCTTCAGAGCGATGTTAAACATAGTGGGGTGCGTGAGTGTGGTTTGGTGCTTGCGTGTCAGATTAGATTGGCCCCTGTGCAGGGACACGCGAACATCGTGAAGTGTGTATCCTACAACGTATTGTGCTTTACTTGGGTACAACGGGGAACAACGATGTCACGGCCTGTGCTCGTCCCGCGGCCCCCCCTCTCTGGTTCCAGCGTTGCGGACAATCCGTTTCGGGCGTTCGTTTTGCCGCGCTGCCGGGCCGAGTGCCCAAGCGACAACGAGGGCTTCTCCGAAAGACCATCCTGGGGGGAGCGAACCCCTTGTTTGCGCCCGGCACCGGATCCCTCTGGCTGCCTGCCCCCCCCCAGCCCCCGCGCGGCGGGGGATGATCCTGGAACGCAGAGGGGGTGGGGGCGGCGGGCGGGCCAGGTCGTTGGGGGTGGCAGAAGCGGATCAACAATCATCACCCTAGACAGTGGTTGTCGTGCTGTGCTTCTGGGAATGGGTGTCGGGGTCGTCTGCGCTGTCTGGGGTTTCGTTCGGGCCAGTAGCTCCGCTTCTTCCACGCCCCTGGGGATTTTCATTTCTCCGTGTCGCGTTCTGAGGTCCTGGACACCGTCTCGGAGGTTGTTCCTTCGCGTTAGGTATCGTTCTTCTCCGTCGACTTCCACTGCCGGCCCGGGGGCCGTTCGCGGCCGTCAACCCGGAGGGCGAGGACGAGGACGAGGACGAGGACGAGGATCTGCTCTAGTTGCCACACTTCTGCCCCTGCCAGTCCGACAGAGAGGCTGCAGACTGCGCAGCCCTCCCCCTCTCGCCTGTGCAGGTCGCCAGGGGGCACCATGTGATCGAGGGCGATCAGCGCAGCTTTGTTAGGACAGTTGCTCCTCTCTAGGTCCTTCCAGGCGGTTGGGTATTCATTCTCTTTCATCCTGGGGGGTTGGTGCGACGCCGTGGCCATCTTTTCAGCCGCTCTGAGCAGCGCCTCGCGGCGCTCAGGGGGGGCCTGGGGCCCTTGGTGTCCACGCCCTGGGCGGCCCCAAACGTATCGCGTATTGCCAGGTGTGCCCCCTGTCGCAGAAGATCAGGGCGGCCTCCCAGCGACGTCTGTGGTATGGCTAGGCCTTTCTCGCAGGGGGGCAGCACGTGCCGTCCTCGCCTTTCCGATTGCCTCCGGGTCATCAAATTTGAAGTCTGCCCACTTCGGGGCCCCAGCGAGCCAGCGCGGCCAGCTGGGATCCGGATGCAACGCTGGGCGTGATGTTAGTGCCGATAAAGACGACGTCTGCCTGGCTCCTGGTGAAGGCGATGTTGATCTTGTGGCGGTCGTCTACGAGACTCCCCAGGTGCAGTTGCTATTGGCCTGCGTACTTCCAATGACGACCAGGTCTGCCTCATCTACTTGGCTGGGTCCTATTGCGCAGATATCGATCAGACCGTGCTGGCAGAGCTTGGGGCGCCGTTCTTCTAATGCCGGAAAGTGCAGCGCCAGGCCATTCGCCCTTGTCCCGCTTTGTCTGCAGACGGGTCGGTCGTCTGCCGGGCCCCTGCTTCCTTGCTCGTGGCAGCAGGGGCGGGGGTCTGTGAGCGATTTGCCGGGGTCCCCCGTTAGGGAGGCGTCCCGAGGGGCCAGCAGGGTGGGGCCAGGCGATCTTCTGCGCGACTGCGCAGCCATCCCTTGCCCGTGCCCTCCTGTGCCGCGCGGGAGACAGGGGCAGCCGGCTGCCATCCCCCGCGCCAGGGGCAGCATTATCTCATGCTGGCGTAGCACCATGACCTGGCGCCGTCTGCCAGGTCGCAGATGGCGGCCGCCTCTTGGATGTCCCCTTAGCCCTCGGCTAGCCGAGAGGTTGCCTCGTGGGACGCATCGTGGGCTCGGAGGGCGCGGATGTGGCCCCCTTTCCTGGGATGCCGTTTCTTCCTGCTTGGGGCAGGACGGGTGTCGTGACCCCCGCCCCCCCTCCCTTCCCTTCCCTATATGACGTAACGCCCCCCCCCCCCCCCCCCCCCCCCCCCCCCTGTCAGTCTCGTTCGAAGTTCGATACTTTGAGAAGGTAGAAACAACCCTCCGTGAGTATAGGAGCCCAGGGAGCCCCAGTGAGAGCCCGGTGCACCCTGCCTAGGCCGCCTGTCCGCAGCCATTCTGGCGCGAAGCCAGACTGGAGCCAGTCTGGTGAGTTTCAAGAAACTCGGTCCGAAGCTCAGGGGGACCGCACACGTACGCCTGGATTGTTTGGAAAAAGGTTGCTTCTCGTTTATCTTTCTCTTGTGTTGCCATCATGTGAGTGGAGTTGGGATTATCATAGCTCTATCGAGCTGGAACCCCGCCGCATATCAAGATACATATCATCAAGTATTGTGAGGACATCTCAAAGCGAAAGGCCCACTTCGAGGTGAATAGCTCGATCTCCAGTAACTTTAAGAAGGATGGAGTCTGGACCGAGTGGAGTCAAGATTCCAGTATGGAATGGCGAGGCTTCGACACGAGAGAGTTTTGAAGAAAAGGTGAAGCTGTGGGACCTCGGCACCAAGAAGGAGGACAGAGTCTATCTGGGCCCGCGGCTAGTGCAGGCAATGGACGAGGACTCCCAGCAGTGGCACGAGGCCAAGAAGGTGTTGTTGGACGACTTAGTCAAGGAAGACGGTGCCGAGAGAGTCGTGAACGCTCTGAAGGGCGTTCGAGGTACCGTGACCATGCAGGAGGCGGTGTCGAAGTGGAGAGAGTTCATGAGAGGCATCTACAGGAACACGGGTGAGGGACCGAAGAAGTGGGTCTCTAGGTTCGACATCCATCTCAGCAAGATCGGCAAGGCCCTCCACGCGGTGTGCAATGACATACCAGCGACGGGTTTCATGCACGAATTCATCCTGGGGCTGATCTTGCTGGACGGTACAGGTCTGGATCCATCAGAGCAAGCAGCGGTCCTGGCGACATCGGGTCCGAAGGGCAACTCGTACATGTACCAGGACGTGAAGAAGGCGCTGGCAGAGCAATGGTCCGAAGAGCAGTTGGCGGTCAGAGATAAGCAAAAGGGGTAAAAGTCGAGAAAAGGAGTGCACGCGATCTTCGAGGATCCGGAGCAGATAGGTGAGCTGACCGCGTACGCGGAGGAGATCTACGACGAGGCTTACCAGGGCGGCTTCGGAGAGGCCACCGACCTGACGGAAACGGCGATGGCAGCCGCCGAGGAGCTCGTGACGGCGACGATCGGGGATCCCTCGATCGCGGAGGAGACTCTTGGACAGGACGAAAGTCTAGCGGCGGCAGTCCTTCCCGGAGAAGAACGAGCTGACGAGTGGACGGAGACGGCATACGCCGCTTCTCGCGCGTTCCTGGAGGCTCGGAAGCTCATCAACGAGGTGAAGAACGCGAGGGGCTACTTCCCAGTGGTCGGACTGGGAGCGTATGATGCCATGCCTACTCAGCCGGGTCCCGGAGCTGGACGAGGTCGTGCAGTGAGCCGAGGTGGACCACCCTCGAAGGGCAAAGGCAAGGGCAAGAACAAAGGCAAAGGCCGCGGCTCACCACCAACCACAAGGCAGAGCACATCATCAGGTACAGCGCCGAAGAAGGTAGACAAGGATACGTGCCTGCTGTGTGGAGAACAAGGTCATCGTGCTCGGGAGTGTCCCAATCGGGGCAATGGCGAAACGACAGCTGATCGGAGAAGGGCGTTCAACAGCTTCGTGGGTGCTCTGGAGCACATCGTGGAGTTCGACAACTTCGTAGGCACGTGCACCGAGGAGCAGATCCGAGCGAAGGATGACGGCCACTTCGAGGACGGCACGTTCATCGGATTCAGCCTTGACGAGTGCAAGGGCTATGCACTTCTGGACGGCGGAGCGTCCAGGTCCGTAGGCGGTGCTGGGCAGCTGGAGTACCTGAACGAGCCTTTGCAGCACCCGATGGAGGTGGACCCAGGGGCGGGCCTGGGCGTCTCGTTCGCTGGTGGCGACTGGGCTGACGCTCCCTCGAAGGTCTCATTTCAGGTCCGCAACCTCGACAACCAGACAGTCGAGATCTACGTGCTAGACCGTCCGTCCCCCATTCTACTGGGAGTCGACATGCTGAAGAAGTTTGGGCTAGTGATCGACTACGAGCGGAACACTGTGTACTCCCGGAGGCTCAAGAAGGAGATTCCCACGAGGGTGCTGGCGTCTGGCCACCTTGCCTTGGACTTGACGGCGCTGAGCGACGCTGGCTCGGCCTCGTGTTGCGAATAGGGACAGCGCCCTGGTCGCGACACGGCAACTGTGGAAAAGACGTCATCCATCGTTGTCGCTACCAGGGGCCCAAAGGACGCTGAAGACCTTCCCAGAGAGCTCCAACAGCTACTCGAAATGGGTATCCGAATAAGATCAAAGTTCCCGAACTTGAGCACCCAGATGATGAAACCGATTCTAGAACACCTCCTGAAGTACGCGAACTGGGTCGAGGGAGACAAGGTTAAGAAGGACACTTGGATTGGAACTCCAGAGGCCCTATGTAGAGTTCATCGTCGGGTTCGTTTCCAAAGATGTGATCCGCGTGAGTTCGACGATCAGGAAATTTCGGCGCTTCACGGGGAACGGATCACATACATGATGACAGAAAGGGGCGAAGGAATCACAGTTCGAGATAGTTTCATAGATCACAAACACGCTCGTCAAGTCGAACAGTCTCGGTGGATTCGATTCTCAGTATTTCCCAGAACCGTTCTGGCTCAGAGTAGCTACTCTCAGCCGGACAACCCGAATCTCTTCATCGGGGCAGTCGATGGTCAGATCATGTGCGCATCGGAACCAGACACGTCAGGGGACGAACGCACACGTGGATCAGATCGATTGCAGGGATTGCGGAGAGATCCTGTTCAAGTACATCTTTGCGAAGCCGCAGGACGAGCAGCTCAGCCTCTGCATCAAGTCGCGCGAGCACTTCCAGCGGTTGGAGGCGACGGGGCACGCTCAACCACGAGCTCGTCCCTCTTGCAACCCAGACATGAACTACACGGACAGCACCTCAGAGAGCGAGCCGACTCCCACGCGAAGCACTCCACAGCCTACGTCAAGACGCCCGCTGCCGAGCAGACTTTCGTCGGAGGTCATCAGGACGCTCTCGGACACAGAGGTGCAGATGATCATCGAGAACGAGAGGAACGCGATTCGACAGGAGGAGCAGACGCGCCTGGCCAAGGAGATCATCGAGAAGGGTCTCATTCAGACTTCAGCATCGTCAAAACTGGACGTCAAGATCAAGGTGGAGGAGATGATCGATCCGCCGAGGGCAATGAAGCGGCAAAGCGTTCCAGAACCGATGGTCAGCAAGAGTGCCTACGGAATTCCGGTGCCCAAGGATCTTCCAATGCCCTCAGGCATGCCGAGGCCAGCAGGAGACTTCCACCTCGCTTGAAGAACTCGATGGTCAACACGCTTCTGATCGCGGCCACCGCGTTGGGAGCTCTACCTGGTGAAGCTTGGGAAGCTGCAGAACGATATGGACGCCTGGATCTGGCGGAAGTGGCATGCGTCTCGGACTCGAGATTGACGAAGGCCGTACAAGAGGCAGGAGGACGAGCTGAACGATTCAGCAACTGGAGCGGCTACGATTTCACGTCGAGAGGAGGAGCCATGAAGCTGGTCCACGCGCTGATGGAGAAAAGGCCACGGAAAGTCTGGTTCTCACCTCCTTGCGGAGCGGAGAGCCCTCTGCAAAACCTGAACCCCGTGACCGAAGAAGCGCAGAAGAAGCTGATCAAAACGCGAAAGATCCAGCGCAACATGGTGTGGGCGATCACACAACTTCGAGAGGCTGGATTCTGTGACATCTACCTGGAGCAGACAGGGAGATGCAGATCGTGGACAGGCAACTTCAAGAGCCTCAAGCAGGAGCTGCATGGATGCACCATCCACGGGTGCATGTACGAAATGCGCGATGAGAAGGAAGACGTACTGCTAAACAAGGAATGGTACATAGCGACGACGGATGAGATGTTCGAGAAGGAGGTTGGACGTCGATGTCAAGATCTACATGTTCATCTACCGATCGAAGGAGGGACACGTGTGGCGCTGGCGGCGAACTATCCCGTGAACATGTGCAAGAAGATAGCGAAGCACTTCATGAAGAAGATAACGTCCGACGAAGCCCTCTCGTATCTGGTCAAGGAAGTCAACGCGAAAGACGACGGGGTCTTTACAGTTCGGGAGCATCTACGCCGCCGTATCCGGGGTAAACGGTCTCCTGAAGGTGACGGGCAGCAAGGACAACCCAAACGACCCACTCTCGAACCAGCCGCAGCACCCACAGAAGGGGAAGGAGAACCGGAACCTCAGGAACCAGCAGCAAGTGACGGACTACCTGAAGATCAACGCTGGCTGGGCAACCTACGTTTACCGCTTCCCAAGAGTGCAGAGGGATGCACAAAGAAGGAGCTCAAGGACATGGAGGCCATCATCGCGCACCTCCACCGCAACTTTGGACACTGCAGCTTGACGACAGTGGAGGCCGCTCTCAAGACTCGGCAGGCCGACAAGAAGCTGGTCGATCTGTGCAAGCACTACGAATGCCCGTCGTGCAAGGCCGCTCAACGTTTTCAACTTCGTCCAATCGCGAGCTCAGAGCCCTCAGTTCCGACGCCCGGGAAAGAGCTAGGATGCGACAACTTCTACTGGACACATCCTCGGAGGGCGTATCATATCAGAGGCACCCTGTGTGCAGACTACGGAAGTCGCTTCACTGCATGCCACGTCCTCAGCAAGGAGGAAATGGATAAGAACTGCGGCAACACCACAGCTAAGGAGATGAAGGAGACGGTCCTGAAGAGCTGGATCCAGCACTACGGCAAACCAGAAGTTCTGAGGTCAGATCCTGAAGGTTGTTTTAGATAAGCGGAACATCGTGCGTGGCTATCAGGTCATGGCATTGAATGGCGACCAGAACCTGGAGAAGCTCATTGGCGTATGGGCGTGGTCGAGAGGTGCATAGAGACGATCAAGGAGATTGCGACTCGGATGGCCTGGGAAGTTCCAGACGATATCGAGCCGCAGGAGATCTTCACGTGGGCATGCACCGCTAACAACGACCTGATGAGGCACAACGGCTACAGTCCACTTATGCTCCTCATGGGTCGCTCTCCGGCTGGACATGGTCTACAAGATGAGGAGAATCCTTCCACTCTCAGCGCAGAGGTGAAGGAGGAGCAATTTCAGAAGCTCGTGCTGAACAAGCGGACCGCGTATAAAGCGTGTGTAGAACACTACCTGTCCGAGAAGACGAAGAGAGCGCTGCTAGCCAAGACGCGACCGTTTAAGGTCTGGGAGCCTGGCGAAAAGGCACACTACTGGAGGAGCGCCAAAGGTAACAGCCACAAGACGAAGCAGGGCATGTCTGGACGTTTCCATGGTCCAGCTACGGTGCTGATGCAAGAGCGCGAGGTCAAGAACGGAGTAGCAGAACGTCGCGGAGTCGTCTGGCTTGTGGATGGTGATCGACTGGTGCGAGCGGCAGCGGCCCACCTGCGCACCGTCACGAAGGCGGAGCAGACGCTAGAGAGTATTTCGGCAGGCAGCTCAGACAAGTTCCAGAAGCTCGTGCGTGACCTCACGAAGGGCTCGTTCGACGACCTAGCCGACCAACCAGGACCAGATGCATGGCACGACATTCCCGAAGGTGAAGATGGACCGGGAGGAGATCAACACCGAGAACCACCTCGCGACCAGGGAGATCACCTCTTCTCTGAGGCAGGTGACGATCATGGACTGGATCACGAAGAAGAAGATCTACCAGGAGAACCAGCAGGAGTTCCCGAAGAGCCAGGAGGAGGACATGACCGACCTGCTGACAGACCTCAAACCGAAGTTCCCTGGGACAGCGAGCCACCTCCAGAGGGTATCAACAAGCGGGAAGCGAGTGTTGAACCTCCTGATGACAGAGACTTGAAGAGACATCGCGCCGACTTCGTGACCTACATGGAGACTCTGAAGATGAAGGCGCCGGATATCTACATGGCCGATCTGGGACGCACAGATCCTGAAGAAGAAGTCTCTCCGGAATGGAAGTCACCCTGGGAGTACTCACTGAAGGCGAAGCAGGAAGACCTCGTCGGATATTCCACGGAGGATAAAGCAGGGCTCGCAGTACTGGTGGGCTTCACGATAGACGAGGAGGACCTGGACCAGGTGGAGAAGAATCCTGAGAGAATGCTGGCAGCCTTGGTGAAGCAGAACAAGGTTGAAGTCAAGCTGAAGGACCTCGCACCGGAGGAGAGGAAGCCGCTGCCGTTCGCCAAGGAGAACGAGATCAAGTCGTTCTTGAAGTATCGAGTATGTGAAGCGGCCAGTCGTGCTGGTGTACATCCCGGAGCGTTAATGAAGATGCGCTGGGTCATCACCAAGAAGGAGACGGGCGACCTCAAGGCACGCCTGGTGGTTCTTGGCTACACCGATCCGAGCCTGGGACAGATCAAGACGGCATCCCCTACATGCAGCCGTAGAGCGCGACAGATGTTCTTGGGGGTCTCAGCTTCGATGGGATTCCAGGTGTTCAAGGGCGACGTGAAGGCTGCCTTTCTTCAAGGAGATCTAGGAGAAAAAGATCGGAACGTTCTAGCGGAACCCGTCAAAGAACTTCGAGAAGCCTTGCGACTTGAACATCATCAGTGCATCAAGCTGAAGAAGGCCGTCTACGGCTTGGTAAACGCTCCGAGAAGGTGGTGGACCAGAGTGCGCAAAGACATGGAGAACGTCGGTTGGGTCGAGTCAGTGACGGAGCCGTGCCTCTGGTGCTTAAGAGATTCCGAAGGCCGTCTTGTCGGCATTGCAGTCGCACACGTGGACGACTTCATGATTGCGATCAACAACGGCTCTCATGCCGCTATCGACGCACTTCAAGAACTACATGGCGCCTACGAGTGGGGCAGCTGGGAGACGCAAGGCTTCGTTCAGTGTGGGACTCGGATTCGGCAAGAATACGATGGTCGTACTAAGAGCTGGGGTCGCATCCATCTGAACATGGTCGACTACGCGCAGGAGTTGAAGGAGATCGACATATCCACTCAACGTCGGAAGGATCCAGAAGCTGGAGTGACACCAGGAGAGGCTTCTCATCTACGCGCAGTTCTTGGACAACTGATGTGGCTATCCACTCAAGGCGTTCCACTCATCAGCGCCGAGCTGTCCCTGCTACTAGCCTACACGAACACGGCGACGATCAACACCCTGATGCAGGCGAACAAGCTGGTCAGGAGAGCGAGAGTGGAAGCGGTCAAGGAGCTGATCATGGAGAAGCACATCAATCCGTGTCTGGTGGGGTACTCGGACGCAGCGTGGAATGTACGCAGAGATGGATCCTCGCAAGCGGGCTTTTTGATCTTCATGACGGACCAAGCGCTGCTGCAGAATAAGGAGGCGCCGATTTCACTGATCTCATGGGCATCAGCGAAGTTGCCCAGGGTATGTCGAAGCTCAAGCGCAGCGGAAGTTCAAGCAGCCAGCGAAGCTCAAGATGAGCTGGAGTTCTGCCGCCTACTGCTGAGCGAGATCCTCATTGGCCCAATGCCTCTGAAGCAGTGGGCACAAGGATGTGCTCGCATTCCAGGAGCGCTGGTACTAGACTGCCGTGGAGTTTTTGACGCGCTGGACAGGTCGGAGAGCAGCGCGCTGGGCATGAAGGACAAGAGGAGCGCGCTGGAGGCTTTGGCCCTGAAGAGAGGTATGGCGGCGACGGCGACATCCCTACGCTGGTGTCATAGTGGCGCCCAGCTCAGCGACTGCATGACGAAGAACGCGGAGAAGGCCCCAGCGAGCTACAACCTCTGGCAGCAGCGAGGTACCTGGAAGCTGATCTACGATTCCAACTTCATCTCCGAGAAGCATCGGAAACAGAAGGGTTTGGACACGCTCGAGACGGGCTTTGCAGTGGATGCAGATGATGCGTGGCAGCTCTTCCCTGACTACATGGAGATCGAGGACACTGACCTGGACATGGTGAGTGACTTTCGCCACCCTGGACTGCGACAGCAGATGATGCAAGATGCGACGCCTCAGTGACGAGGCATCGATTTGTTGTACCAGGTCAAGTTAGGCATAATGAACCCTCTGAGCTATGTGGACAGACAGGCGAGGATTTCACAGACGGTTCGGGGCATGTCAGTCTCGTTCGAAGTTCGATACTTTGAGAAGGTAGAGACAACCCTCCGTGAGTATAGGAGCCCAGGGAGCCCCAGTGAGAGCCCGGTGCACCCTGCCTAGGCCGCCTGTCCGCAGCCATTCTGGCGCGAAGCCAGACTGGAGCCAGTCTGGTGAGTTTCAAGAAACTCGGTCCGAAGCTCAGGGGGACCGCACACGTACGCCTGGATTGTTTGGAATAAGATTGCTTCTCGTTTATCTCTCTCTTGTGTTGCCATCATTTGAGTGGAGTTGGGATTATCATAGCTCTATCGAGCTGGAACCCCGCCGCATATCAAGATAAATATCATCAAGTATTGTGAGGACATCTCGAAGCGAAAGGCTGAGATCCGTGGACAACACGCTCCACTGACACCCCCCCCATTGCGCTCCGGTCACTGCCGCCGTGCCTTTTGGGTTCCGCGTAGGTGTCCGCGTAGGAATCCGCATAGGAGTCTGGTCCGCAGTCGTCGTCGTCGTCGTCGTCGTCGTCGTCGTCGTCGTCGTCGTCGTCGTCGCTCATAAATCGTCGTGCGCGCGGACGCGGGTGAAGCCTGAAAAAACAAACGGCAATCCTCTGGGGGGGGTGGAGGGGGTCGATGTCGTCACGTTTCGCGCCGGCGGCGTCTGGGAATGCTTAGGAATGAGGGAGGACGGGTAGCGCCAGCATGTAGGTGGCGATTTGCACCCCAACGTTTGTTTACACCACAGTGCCTGCGTGCACCACAGCGCCTGAGTACACCACACCGCTTATGTACACCACAGCAGCCGCGTGCAACACAGCGTCAGTTTCTGCCACCGTGCCTGCGGGCACAATAGCTCTCGTGCACACCACAGCGCTTGCGTACACCACATCAGCCGTGTGCAACGCAGCACCAGTGTACACCATAATGCGCGCGTGCGTTGCAGTGCCTGGGTCAACCACAGCGCCTGTATGCACCACAGCACCCGTGCGCAACACAGCACCACTGCTGGAAATAGAATAGTATAACAAGTCCTTATGACAAGAGGGGGCGCTTGTGGATCCCACAGAAGACAATATAAACAAATCCTTATGGACAACGGAGCGCTGCTGGAATCTACGAGTCCTCCCAAGTCCGCCCGCATCACCCTGACTCTTCCCATCCGCGCCCAGGAGGCTCGACCTAAATTTGCCGTCCGAGAACCAAGTGGACCCATTCAATAGACCATTCTGCGCTGCGCGCTGAGATGCGCACGTGCGCTGTAGCGCCAACCCGCACGACAGGTGGTAAGGAGGAGGAGGAGGAGGAGGAGGAGGAGGAGGAGGAGGAGGTGGAGGAGGAGGAGGAGGAGGAGGAGGAGGAGGAAGAGGAGGAGGAGGAGGAGGAGGAGGAGGAGGTGGAGGAAGAGCGAGGAGGGAAAAAGGCGCATTCGATTATCAGCACTTTCCTGGCGTGGCGTCTGGTTGTCCGCAGCAGATCCTCACGGTCATGTTCCTTCTACCCCTCCTCTGCACGCGCTTTGGCGTGCACAGGCGCTGCGGGGCACGCAACCACTGTGGTGTACACAGGCGATGTGTTGCACATGGTAGCTGCGGTGTACACATGTACACGGGCGCTGTAGTGTACGCAGGCATTGTGGTATACACAGGCGCTGCGTTGCACATGGTTGTTGCGGTGTACGCAGGCGCTGTGGTATACACGCGCGCTGTGGTGCACGCGAGCATTGTGGTGTACACAGGCGCAGTGGGGCATATCGCCACCTACGTGCTGCTCGCCTCGTCGTCGTCGTCGTCGTCGTCGTCGTCGTCGTCGTCGTCGTCGTCGCTCGTCGTCGTCGCTTGTCGCTCGTCGCTCGTCGCTCGTCGCGTCGCGCGCGTGGGCGTGGCTGCGGTGCCGGAGCCACAAACCGGGGGGGGGGGGGCCGTTACATCATACCCCCCCCTCGCCCCCTCCCATGGCGCCCGTCATCGCTGAACATAAAGAAACGCTCCCTGGGCACCGTTGACTGGGTTACGCAAGCCCCCGAGTCCTGGGGGGATACCGCCCCGCGACCTGTTTATGGCCTGTCGAAGCCTGTCCAGCTTGCGTTCGGGAATGGGCCAGGCCTTCTGCCAGGGGAGCCCTGTGACCAGGGGCTGGTGGCTGCCTATCGAGTCTGCGACGCCTGAAAGCAGTCTTCCTTCGTAGAACAAGTGCAAAGCCCACTGCAAGATACTTGGGCGCATGCGGCAGCATTCTGCTTGGAAGACGTTGCGATCGCCGCCAGGTCCGGGCAAGTCTCGGAAGCGCTCCGTTACAGAGATCGATCTCCCCACGGCAGCCGCACGGTTTGACGCGAACGCTGGGCTGAGCTGCCGTTCGGTTCCGACGATCCAAATCCGCCCTCCCGCCCTCGCGAGGATCATGGGGAGATGACGGCCAGGGCTTCAGTTGACTGCCTGGCCTTGTCCAGCGTGCCCATCGGGATGTCGGGCCAGAGCTCGGCGCCCAGGTCTGCTGCTAGCTCGCGAGCGGCTAGGGCGAGCCAGGTGTCCTTGCGCAGCTGCTTCTTGAACCTGGTAAGCGGCTTAGGCCCGCGCCCTGGCCGGAAAGGGTAGTTGCCCCTGGCCATCTCGAACTTCGCTGCCGCGGGGTGAGGTCGGACGCCTCTTGGCAAGTGAATCTTCCCGCGAGGTAATCTGCCGAGTTGGGGAAGTCGGTGGCCGGATTGACTCGCCTGGATTTTTGGACTTCGTCCATGTACTTCGCGGGCGTGTCCGCCGCCTTGCGGGGCCCCGCGAACAAGCCAATTGCCCGTCCAGGAGGAGAGCACGGTGCCCGCATGTTCATGACAGCTGCGATCGCCATGGTCGTGCCAGTGCCAGGTGGTCCGTGCGCCAAGGGGGCCACCGCCCAGAGAGATTGCGCAGGTACCTGAGTCTGAGGCGCGTTCAGCTGGTGTCTCCGAGCGGCCGCATCCGCGCTGTCTCGCACGTGGGCAGGCAAACTCTTTGGAACGCGCGGCCATGGCAGGCCCTCACTTCTTCGACCGAGGGGCCAGGTCTGGCAGCTGGTGCAGCGGCGGAGCAGGAGTCGTCTAGATCGGCATGCCTACTGCGAGCGTTGCGGAGGCCTGCTGTCGCGAGGCCGCGCCAGCCTGGGCCTATGGAGCTTTCGAGTTGGCGGCCTCCTCGCGGGCAACGCCCTCATTCCGAAAGGAGAGGACGTGGGCAATTGCCGCTGAGGTTGCCCCGCAACGCACCTGCGGCTCACTGGGGCAGGAATGCTTCCTGCATGGCAGTCCATGCCCGCTTCATCTGCCGCTGCGGCGGAGCGTGATCAACCCGGC